TAAAAACGTTTATATGCTAATTTAAACAAGCCCAAATTGTCTAAAACTATTAACTACTTTCTAAAAATCCATGCAATCAATGACATTTATATTCTAGTTTAAACCGGTCCAAAGTGTCAATGTCTTTAAAATAATTTGGGAGTTCATTCCAAATAGAGACTGCGCGATAATGAAACGTTCGCTGTCCATGAGAAGCCGAATTATACAGTGGAATGTCTAACTTATCCTTATTTCTGGTGTTAACACTGTGAGTCTTTGATCTCATTTCGAATTTGTCACACAAGTATGACGGAGCTAACCCTTTCATGCACTTAAATGTCATAACCGCATCCCTGAGTTTTAACATACACTCAACTGGAAGCCAAGCTAACTGCTGAAGAATAGGCGTCACATGGTCATATTTTCTAATTCCAGTACACCATTTGTTACTCATAACGATAAAATGGGCTACCATGTGTATGAACCAGCGACCATTAAAACGTAGAGATATGCATGTGGACGGATTTGACAGCGAATTGCATGAAACGCGTATTCAATACAAAAATTTGAATATGCATAATCATTCATTATCGTCTAAAGGTATTCAACGTCAAGAAATAAGCATACAATAGCATGTATATGGGAACCATACAAATCTAGAGATTAGACATCAGAGTCAAGAATGCATTCATTCTAATGAAAACGTTGTTTATTAATATTGTTAAGCACCAACAGGCGAACAATAAAATGAATGTATAATCATTACAATGGTCTTAATTGCCAACTGTGTGTTTCTAATAACAATAGAATTCTTATCAAGTTCATTTATCACCGATATCTTTTCAACAAAACACTACAATATATGTGCGATATTAAGCAGGAAATGTCATATCCTTCAACCCTGAATGGCCTCCCGTTTACTGTAAGCAGCGTGGAATGTATATTTGCACGAAGCGGTACCTTTGCTCGCACTTCGCGCCACATTTGTTGTACCGATGTTTCGCTGCAAGGCATCTAGGAGAAGATGGGTTCGAAACTCTTCCTAAGGTAGTCGTCGATTTCTTGCCGCGTCTCTATCACCCGTCAAACGCTGAATTTCGCTGTCTGTTCTTGTGCGATTCTGTTATGTACGCCTGAACATGTCCATGTACCTACACATTGTATGTATACAGTAATCTACAGATACACACAAACCATGTTCCATATTTTTTGTTTGTGTGAGACTGCTTATTGTTAAACAAAGTGCGCAAGCCCTTTCATGTCTTTATACAGTAAACCGGGGTGTTAGGAATATTCCATCACATTCATGCCAATTATAGGTAGTGGTTAGTTGAAAAGATATCGGTGATAAATGAACTTGATAAGAATTCTATTGTTATTAGAAACACACAGTTGGCAATTAAGACCATTGTAATGATAAAACATTCATTTTATTGTTCGCCTGTTGGTGCTTAACAATATTAATAAACAACGTTTTCATTAGAATGAATGCATTCTTGACTCTGATGTCTAATCTCTAGATTTGTATGGTTCCAATATACATGCTATTGTATGCTTATTTCTTCACGTTGAATACCTTTAGACGATAATGAATGATTATGCAAATTCAAATTTTTGTATTGAATACGCGTTTCATGCAATTCGCTGTCAAATCCGTCCACATGCATATCTCTACGTTTTAATGGTCGCTGGTTCATACACATGGTAGCTCATTTTATCGTTATGAGTAACAAATGGTGTAATAACGCGTGCCGGCCGCGAAGTTTTGCACGCTTTGGAGTTTTGATATGTTCTTTTTCGAGGTGTTCGACCAAACAGAGGAGCAGTAATACATTTTACTGAAGACCAATGCATTTATAATAAGGGATAAAGTGTGTTTGTCCAAAATATGCTTGACTCTGTTGATTTGGCATAATTCTGTGATACATTTTGAGACGGTATCGACAATATGTTTGTCGTAAGTCAAACTTCAATCCAAAGTCATTCCCAAATCTTTAACAGTCTGAAGTAGGATTCTTTTCTCACCAAGAACAGTCATATGGAAATCTGTGCCAGAGAGTTTTTTCAGCATTTGACTTGTACCAAGTAATAGAAGTTTCGTTCTCTTTGGATTCACTAGCAGACTATTTATACAACACCGCACCATGCGGTAATTCTTTCCATATCTTGTATAAGTTTAATCGCAGCTTGTTCAATATCCTGAATTAGAAATGCCAGATAGATTTTCGAATCATCCACATAAGATTCCAAAGAGGGCTCTTTTGGAACATTGGTCAGGTCATTAATATATATGTTAAATAATGCCGGCCCAAGAATAGATCCTTGAGGTACCCCTCGAGTTATAATACATGTTTCCGACAATGTCGACCCAATACGTACTTTTGGCTTCGTCCCGATAGATAACTTTTAAACCATGCCAACACTGATTTAGACACACCAATGGTTTGAAGTTGCACTAGTAGAATTGAATGATCTATACTATCAAATGCTTTGGATAAGTCTATTAATACTAAGGCCGCAACTTCTTTACGATCCATTGACTGCAAGATTTGATCTGTTATAAAAACGTTTAATGTTTCTGTAGAATGTAATTTTCGATTGCCATTTTGGTGTTGAGTATATCTTTTCCATTGCGACATATAGTCAGTCAATTGATTCAATACAACTCGTTCACAAATCTTTGATACTGCAATTAGCAAAGACACAGGACGATTATTGTCTGCGATCTCATGATCCCTATCTTTTAAGAGGGTAACAACTTCTGCCATCTTCCATGATGTTGGATTTTCGGATGTAAGCCATGAACAATTAATAATCTCCGTTAACGCAGGGAGAATACATGGTAAGGCATCTTTGATAATACTCATTGGGATTTTATCTAATCCCGGTGCCTTGTTTGAGGAAAAGGACATGATGATCTGCTGTACATCACTACATGAAACCGGATGGAAATGAAACACAGGAATTTGAGCAGGTACTGCTAGGTCTATGGTTGGTAGATTATATTTAGTTAAAAGTGCAGTAGCAGACTCTGATGCTTTAATTCCCACTGTCGTGAAAGAAGAACTGAACTCCTCCACTAGTTCCGTGATATTTCTTGAATACTTAAGTTCCTTTGACTCTTTACGGGGTAAACAGTTCCTTATAACTTTCCACTTAGAACTTCTGTTTAGGTTTTTATGAATTTCATTCTGTACAGTACTGTCCGGAAATAACCTAACAGTGCTGTTGCGGTTAGGTCGCGGTTAGGTCGCGGTTAGGTCGCGGTTAGGTCGCGGTTAGGTCGAGGTTAGGTCGCGGTTAGGTCGCGGTTTGGTCGCGGTTAGGTCGCGGTTAGGTCGTGGTTAGGTCGCGGTTAAGTCGCGGTTAGGTCGCGGTTAGGTTGAGGTTAGGTTGAGGTTAGGTTGAGGTTAGGTCGCGGTTAGGTTGAGGTTAGGTTGAGGTTCAGTCGAGTTTGACCGATTTAAACCGCAAATTACAAATGTTTTACTAATGCCGTAATGGTAAATTGGCAATACCTTGACTGCATGTGCAGAAGTGGCGGGTAGATGAGTTTGTAAACTGCAACTATAGGTCTTCAAAAGACGTGAGCGGATCTCGGATTGTAAACTCTTCGAAAATGCTGTTTTTAAACTAAAATAAGCCTGTAATTAAACCTTTCAATAAACCGGAACATAATTAAGCTCCGTGAAATAAATTAATAAACATAATTAAAAGTCACTACCTCTATTACGTATATATTATACTGTAGATATAGGATTTCCGTGATTTGCCAATCGTAATTAAGGTGGAGTAATACGGGCTACAAAATTGCTGCAACTTGCAACAAGATCTGATTTCAACGCATGCTAATTGAAAATGTTCACACATACGTTAAAAATCACGAGGCAACATGTGTCAACATTTTTATTTAACATGCGTTGAAATCAGATTTTGTTGCAAGTTACAGCGATTTTGTTGCTCGTATTACTATTAAACTGTTATTAAATGTAGAAAAAATGGCGTAATTATATTCGATATTGTATTCGATATAGGCCTGCGGTTGTAAATCCGGCTAAAGCGCAATGATTTTAATTCTAGCAATCTGATAATTCCGATTATAATAATCTCTAGTTTTGTAGCGAAAAGCATATATATATATATATATATATATATATATATATATATATATATATATATATATATATATATATATATATATATATATATATATATATATATGTATATATATATATACGCGGTAGTAAATCTATTAAAGAGTAATTAAAGGTCAGTGATTTTGATTCTATACTTTTATACAAGACTATACTCACTATAGTAATCTGGTTCTATAATCAAACACCGTGCAATTAGATCACTCATGTAGTTGCCGTGTAGCTGCATGAAGACATTCTATGACTGAGTCATACAGATTACTGCACTGTTATTTTCAGGGAGTTAAAATAACTCCCCTATCACTCCTTTTTAGTGGAGTTAAAATTTTAGGGCCACGTTAACCCCATTTCAGGAGTTAAAGTAACTCTCATTGAGGAGTAAGGGGATACGGTCGAATTAATTAGTATGCAAAATTAACTCTTGATGGTGGAGTTATTCAGATATAACTCCATTTATTGGAGTTATTTGTTATAAAAGGAAAACAAAATAGCGTCGTGTTTTCGGCTTTTTTAATAGTTTTCACGTTTCAGCTTGCTTTCCTTTCTACTGCACTCAAGAAAAAAACCCGTGAAAATTATACGGAAGGGAAGCGAGAACTGCATTATTCATTTTCAGCTAAGTGAACATATTTTACTTCGTGTTTAATATAAATATTCAGATGAGAGGAGTGAAATTTTTGGTCACAGCAGCTCAATAACGCAGTGTTTTATTACAACTTATTTTTATTATTCTGTGGTGATGTGTTGTATCATATTAAATTTAAACATAGCAAGTACAAATTGTACACATTGTACTTGTCATACAGTACAATACAATCCACTATTATTAGTTAAAACAAGACATGACAGCTATGACAACACAAAATTCATTATATTTTATTACAGTACAACAAAGTATATAGTACAATTTTGCATCACGCAGTACATTACAGTACAATATGCCTGAAAGTACAGTGACCAAAAGACAGTACAGCACAATTTCGCATAGTTAAGATTACTGTAGCACAGTGAAGTATAGCCGAGTTTAAAACACATGAAAATTCAGTGCAGCACAATCAGGGGCGTAGGAAGCACCTAGAGTTTGGGGGGGCACCGGCTTGTAGGGGCACATTACTATCGGAAAGGGCACCTAAAAAATTTTTCCCGGAAATGTTGTCGACGGGGGGGGAGGGGGGGAGAAATTTCTCCTGAGGAACCTTTTTCCGTCGTATCATACCGAAATTTATGTTTGTGACCTAATTTTTAAAAAAAATTTGTAAATTTCCACACAAAAACGGCACCTATTGTTTTAATTTAGTATTTACAGCGACATTAGCTTCTACAAAAGGGGCACTTTTCCTCACAAAAAAGGGCACTTTTCAACACAAAAAGGGCACTTTTTATCACAAAAAAGGGCACTTTTAGTCCTTTAAAAAAATTTGGGGGGGCACGTGCCCCCCGTGCCCCCCCGCTTCCTACGCCCCTGAG